ACAAGTAATAAAGCTCTACTCAACTTGACACTCTGTTTCAAAAATGATCTATATCGAGCGGATTTTGAGGCCCCACAACACGAAATTCAGTTAAACTGTCAGAATTGTTTTGCCATATTTTACTTGTTTTTGTCTGACCCCCAACATCGAATAACGCTAACAAAAATGCCCGAGAGAATTTCTTTTCTCTTTTTAGAGTAAATTCCCAAATATTAAAACAATTGTTCTTAGGCAGATATTAAAAACATACTCAGTTACTTTCGTACTTTAAATTGACCATTTTTGGTTCATATGCCGGGTACCAAATATTAGTTTGCTACAAAACTTTCCTCGTATTTATCAGATAATCGTGATCTTAAACTCTATTTCTCTGTTTCTTTTGAGAGGCGTCCATTTTTTGCACTGAAAACCACCCAAAATAAGTCTAAATGGGTTAAATGAAAAATTTAAGCTCTTTTCAGTAATTTTGACTCTTAACTGCAGATCAGAGTTTCTAGACCGAACCTTACTTTTTTTTTTTTTTTAATTAGAAACGCATTAGATTTCTTTTAATCTTCTCTTTATTACAAGTTACCTTAATACAGTTTCATATATGAGCTGAAAATCATTCATGAGGCTCAAAAAGCACTAATAGCTATTTTGGATCTGTTGTGCGAGCTCAATGTGTATTCAGTCAGTTACAAAGTTGGATTAACAGTTCTCCTGTAGGCGCTCTGTTTTCACACGCTGCGGTCGGTCTGTTAACTTTTAAGGAGCTATTCTCCATAAGAACAAAGGAGTTGCAGATAAAGATACAAACGCCTATGTAAAGTTTCAGCGCTTCCGACATGTTCTCCTTTTATCAAAACATTTTATACAATTTTCACAACTTGCCATCTCTTTGAAACTGGTAGAATAAAAAAATAATTTCTGAAATACACAAACATACGATGAGATGCTGAAAATTTATTATTTATTATTATCCTAAAATCTGAGAAAATAACTTAACATCAGAATTTGCAAATTGGGTGTGGTCTTTTTTTTCTTTTTTTTTTTACAGTGAGATTCGCCATGTACAAGACCTGGGCAGCACTTAATTTATAGGGTTACAGGGTAAGAGTCAGTTTATGCGGATAGGAAGAGAAGATAATAGTTAACCATAGACTTGAAAAGGTTAAAATTGTTGTGATCGGGGAAAACACCCTCTTGGGAGTCGGTTCCACAGAGCAGGGATTCGCGGGAAGAAGCTGTTCGAGTGGAACTTACTTCTCACCAATGAAATACGGAGTGAATGTGGATGGTTTGCTACAATATTCTCTTTTTTTTAAGTACTTTCAACCGTCCCGGTTATTATCAAGAACTGGGTGTTGTCAGTATGTCAGACAAGATTTTGTTGGCTATATCCTGGCATTTTTGGAACACTACATTTCAAATTTAATTTAAATATTGTTGTAGAGTAGTTTTCACAGTGGAGGCTTGTATTTCAATAAGTCGTCCTAAATTTGGTTCGACGTACAAAACGTTAGGAACTTGAAATAAGAGTTAATGACGCAGCAATCTAGTTGTGATGGTTGATACTTCAATGTCCGACATCCACTGACTCACTCAACACCGCTGAGCCCAACTGTCGACCGTTACTACTACTACTACTACTACTACTACTACTTATAATGTGTGGGAGAGTCTATTGATAATAGAATAGGTACGTCAAGTATAACTAATATATACGTATCGTATAAATGATGTCATAAGTAAAACGGTTTCGCACACAGAGTTCGACTGCACCAGAAAAAATATCAAATATTTTATATGTATTATTATTATTCTATACACATATTTTGGGGTTAAGTTAATAAAACGTATATATATATATATATATATATATAGTACACAATAAAATTCAAAATCACCTTATGTGGAGAATAAGCTTATTTCAACCGACGAAATTCGTCAGTCTTATTCACATGAGGTGGTTTTGGATTTTATTGTGTACTAATTATTTGCTTTGTAGTAATAAATACATCGAGCACTTTTTGTGAATCAGTTTTAATATTTTGTATTACTAGGATCCACTTGTATTATATATGTTGTAACCTAGAAAAGGTTACTGAATAAGGAATAACCAAAACGGGGGTTGGAAATGAAATGGTAATCTTTATAACATCAACAAAATACAATACTCGCCAGCGGCGTAAAGTAAGTAAACCACTACTCGTAGTGGACTACTTAGACAGCATATTACCCACACTTACAATAGTGTCCAACGTGTTTATGAGGATTGGGACATACCCATTACTGTTCATAGGTACGTTATATAACAATATACCAGCAGATTTATTACCTTTACTATATACATATATCGCAGTTACAATAAGTTTCTTTATAAGTTACCCTGAAGATGACATTGGAAATGGTCGAAAGTGATTGGGTTAGGAAAAACTACGGCGCCTTCCTTGGTGAATTTCATCTTAACATCAAGAAATTGATTAGAGAACTGGAAAGTATCAGTATAAAATAAATAGATACAATATGTCAATGATATATATATATATATATATATATATATATATATATATATATATATATATATATATATATATATATATATATGTATGTATCTATGTATGATTGGTGTATACGGAATAAATTCCAATAACCAAAAACTACTATTCTTAAAAAGAGTGCTCAATACAGAAAGAGTAAATATAAATAAAGGTGTGTATCATAATTCTAGTTAGTCTATACGGGATTCAGATGATAAAGTTGGCAGAAGGGACACAAGTTTAAACATCCTAAAATGATGTTTAGGAAGAAAAGGAAACGTCAAATCTCTTATTCCGAGTATTTTGAATGGCACAAAAAACAAAAAACAAAACAAGACTCTTATTCTGGTGTGAAATTTGCAGAGCAACAAACATTTATTACAATGACAAAAATATTTTTTCACGGTATGCAAATTGTACAAATTGTAATATAGGAACTGCACAAAATTTACTTGTACGTCACAAATTATCAAGGCAGTTCTTTCAAATACAAATAATTTTTCTCTTAGAAAACTACAGTTCGTGTAAAGCAAATGTTTTCCTTAACAACAAAGTGATTTTAACAACTTATTAAAGCCAACAGTTCATATAAATCTTTCTCGGCAGCAAAAGAAATTTACTTACATAGAAAAGTTCACAATTCAAAATGTTTCTGGTTCAAAAGTTAAAGTTTAAATTCGAATAAAAGTGAGAAAAGGTTGACCTACCCCGAAGAAGCTGCTTTTCTGAATTTTTTATTTATTTATTTATTTATTTTTACGAATATTCAAACAGTCGTCCTCAAGTTTGAGATAAACTCTCACAGGTTTATGAAAATTTAGAAGATTATTATTATTAATAATTTGATTTCTGGTGTGTATTCATTTCTTTCCGGGTCCCGATTAGAGACCGAAGGTCAGAAATGGCATCATGATTTTTTCCACTGAGCAATTTTGAAGAAAAAATAACACATATTTTACATAAAGTCCATCGTAAGGTGTGGGCTGTACTCGTAAGAACATTTTTTGTATTTCTTTAAGGCATGGGCTACCAGAAAACCTTTCAATGACTCTGTTGGAATCTTTTGTAATAAACCCGAGGGCTCCTACTACAACTGGAATTGTTGATGTTCTCTCTTGTCACATTTTTGAGATTTCGATTTCAAGGTCCTTGTATTTTGATAGTTTCTTGAAGATCTTCAAAGATATATTGCAGTCTTAAGGACCTGCCATATCAATAAGGAGGCACATTTTGTCTTTGCGGTCTATAATCACGATGTTAGGGCGATTAGCATGGATTGTTCTGTCTGTGTGTATTGTGAAATCCCATAACATTTTTACAGGTCCTATCGCCGTAACCGGGTCTGGTTGGTGTTCATACCAATTTCTTTCAGTTTCCTTTCCGTAAAGGTTGCATATTTTCCAGTGCAGATATTGGCCCACTCTGCCATGCCGGGTTTTATATCCAGTGGGCGCGAATACTGTGCAACCTGATAGAAGATGGTCAATTGTTTCTGGATATTTATCGCAGGATCTGCATTTTGTGCTGACACAGTTTTTCAGTATTTATGCGCATGGTTAGGGATCGTATTGACTAACTTTTTTCCTCCATTTGCATATGGCTACAGGTGTACTAATCCGACAATGTTTTGCTTTGTGACTGACTTCTCTCTGAGTGAAAATTTTAATTTTAGTACCACCAAATGTAAAATGTATTTTGTTTTTTTTAAGTTTCTTTCCTTTTGTTTAATGGATTCCTTGATAATCCTTATCATTATTATTATTATTATTATTATTATTAAGCAAGCATGCTAATAATTTCATTCAGCCTTATGTTAAGCACGACTATCAAGAATCACGACTGAAACAAATGCGAATGAAATCGCTAAAAATGAACATTACTGTCATATGCCCTACTCGACGAATAATTTATAATGCAATCATACGCCGACCAGGAGATATATATACATTATCACGTCTATGGAGAGATGCGGGCTATCTCTCCCAGACCATGACAAATGGACAATTAGTAAACAAAAATATTTTAAAGAACACTGTTCGATTGGGATAATCAAACAGTAATCTTTTCCCAGGTTCGCTTCGGTTTCAACACAAATACTGATCCACAATTCAAGGATGAACGATAAGACGTAATAAATTTTGGTATAAGAATTTTAATATGTACATATACACAAAATATTAAAATAAAAGAAAAATATAAGCATGAGTAAAGCATCCGACGACCAGAACCATATGTTGGGATACCAAAATATGCCCAAATCCAAGTGGATTCAACTGAACCCGAACGGATAAAAAAAATAAGTATGAATAACTACGAATGCAGAAATCAACGCATAAAAAAAAAAGAGAGATGGGATAGGATTTACATATTACTATTTTGACATGTGGAAAGGTGTTTATGAGAACATAAAATTTATGTATGCATGTGTATCTTTCTAACACGGGTCCAAAATATATGGTTACTTATCTTTATATTCAGTTCTCTCTTTTACTCATTGTCCTTTCTTTTCTCTCTCACGTTTCCTCTTTTCTTTCTTTTTCTTTACACAAGTCCAATTTCACACACGGTCCGGCTGTAACAGAGATATACACTTTCTTCTTCTCTCTGGTTTTCTCTTTTCTTTCTTTCTTTCTTCTTTACACAGTTCAGCTTCAAACACTGTTCGGCTGCAACAGAAATATATACTTTCTTCTCTCTGGTTTTCTCTTTTCTTTCTTCAAACGCAGACTGTATTCTCTTCTGTGATAAATAACTCGATTTATCTTCTTCAATTTGGAGTTAACGAACAGAAATACATATCCTTATATTTCTTATCTGGAGTTGCTTGGGATGAATCGGACAAGTTCCATCATTACCAAAATGTCGCATCTTTCCGTTCATAAATTATCAGCGCTTCGGTTTCGAGTCTTGCTCCTTCAAAGACAAGACAGCAACTGACTTCCAAGTAATTTTCTAATTCCCACGTGTCCTGCGTTTTGGCGCGAATTCCAGTTCCTGCTGCTTCATGACCTTACGTCAGTCCCCTGTCTAAATTCTGTCTAGACGTCTGTTGCTACGGGTAATTTGGTCAGTCAACCTCTTGACTTGCTTTCCCAAAATGTCTCGAGACTCCCACGTGACCTCTTCTGTTGTCAGGCGGAGATCAACCTTAATATATGCGTGTATGCGTGTTTGGGCTATCTGCATTCGTCACAATTACCATCATTTTATACCAGGTCAAAACACCGAAAACCACAAAAAATTCTGACAGAATTCCATTCGTCATCAACTGACACCGAAATTTTGCTGGAATTTCGAAAATACTTCACGACAACTATTAGCACATTGCGCAAAAAATATCCGCGTTTTAAAGAGATTTTTCCCAACCAACCTATAGTTTCTTTCAAAAGAAATAATGTAAGAGTCCATACTCAAAACAACATTGGCGTTTCGGATCGTTGTACTCCCGAAAACGCTCATAGAAGAGTAAAACCCCGTGCGTTGTGCAACATGAGTCAAGTTAATTCTATCACAAATTCAAAGAGAACATTACGATTTCTACAGAGGGTGTTAATTATAATGATTCCCATTTAATATACGCCACCCAATGTACCAAACATGACTTGATTTATATGGGTTGCACAAGGGAAAAATTAAATCAAAGATTCAATGGGTACAGGTATGATATCAGATAAAATATGAAATCAACGGAGCTTGCAGAACATTTTATTACAAACAACTGTAATTTCGCCAAGCATCTTATGGTGAACATTCTGAAAAAATATTCCGGATTTACCGACCTGTCGACACTTAAAACGCATGAGAATGGATACGTAAGCAAATTACTAAATGAACAGAATGACAGGAGAGTTCCATATGATTTATACTTAGCTGTTTGATTAATTCCTCTTAGTAACTAATCAACTAACGAAAAATATCAAGATGAAAAAGCTCACCATCATATTAAGCACGTTTCAGGGGTATGCCTTCCCGCTGGCGGCGTTTCATTCGTTTTGACATGTTCATTACCAGTACAGCCGTTTTTTGGTGTTTTTTTTTTCATTACAAGAAAATACTTATACCCTCAGATTTCCGCCCAGTATGTGAATAGGGTATTTTCTGATTTTTCTTTTCATTCAGACTTAAATCATGTCTATCAAGATAGTCGGCTTGAATGCGAATGGTCTGAGGGATTGGAGTAAGGCTGCCTGTCTTCTTCGTGACCTCTTGTCGTTCGGTGTGAATGTCGCCGTGATCCAGAAGACGCACTTTCTTTGCAGCGTTGATGTTTGTGTGCTGTCTAACGACTTTGTCGTCTATTCAACATACAGGGTCCGACTGGTCAGAGGCATCTCCTTGCTGGTTAAGCGAACCCTGGATGTGAGGGTGGACTTTGTCAACATCGATGCGGAAGGCCGGTTGATCGTGGCCGATATTGCCGTGAAAAGCGGTTCGTTCCGGATCGTTGCGCGTCTCGTTTTTTGTCAGCTTGAACCGTTTCTGCTGAATTCGTCGCCCCTAGTCTTAGTAGGGGACTGAAATGCCGTCCTGGACCTCAAGTTAGGAGGCAAGGAAGCTAGTGGGTGTTCGGGTAATCGTAGCTTGATTGATCTGATCGTCGAGTTTGGTCTCGTCGATAGATACCAGGTCGATCACTCCGATGTAGAGGGGAGACGTGGACACGTAGTTGGTTGTTTACCCAGGTATCCAGCTACCTGGATAGAATTTTAGTCAGAAGAGCCGATGTAGATCTGTTACATTGTCCCATGTTTCAGTGAGTAGGCTATTCGGACACCGACTTGTCTGTGCCCGGGTAGCGTTAGACTCTAGAATGGCTGGATACTGGAAGTTCAATCTGTCTTTGCTAGACAGACAGGACTTCTGGCAACAGCTGATTAGCGTAGTGCAGCGGAAACTAGTGGGCGCGGTTAACGGGAATAGGTGGTGGGAGAGGCTTAAGGGTAGGATTAAGTCCTTCACCACGGAATATATCCAGCGGCTTGCACTAGATAAGGTCAACAAAGTGAAGGCACTTAAGGATAGTCTTTCTCGGGTGGTGGCTGCGGAAATTGCCTAGAGATAGACCTAGCTAGAGAGGCCCCGCGACGCGCGGCTAGCGAAGCTACCAGGGCCAGGTTGTTAGGCATAAGTTAAACAAGATGTCTGACGAAGCCGTGAATATGGGGGCAGAACTGCGCAAGGAAGAGATCCGTTGAGGTTCCGATCGTTACATTCGGGAGGTCGATACCACGGAGGGGCGTACTTTGAGGTCGGCCGATGGCATGAGCGAGGCGTTTCGGAGGGCGGAGTTTACGCGGCATTGAAGAGGGTCGGCAGTGGCAAGTCTCCAGGACTTGATGGTTTGCCATATGAATTGTACTTGAGGCTGTCGCACATCTTTGCTCCTATTTTGACTACCGTGTTCAAAAACTGGTTCCGCCAGGGGTCCGTCCCCGACCGGACCTCCAGGGATGTGATCACGTTGTTGAAAAAGGACAAGTGTGTTGGCAGGTTTTAGATAATTACAGGCCCATAATTCTACTAAACACAGAGTATAAGATTATGACCAAGATGCTGTTGTCGAGATTCTGTTGGGACCCGAGCAGACTTGTTCTGTGAGGGGCTGAACAATTCAAAGCAAACCTGCATCTGATCCGCACGATCCTAGAGGGTGTAAAAGTCAACGAGCAAGCCACCCTGATTTGAAAGGGTGACCATCGGTACCTGGCTGCTCTACAGCAGGCCGCCAGATTCGAACCCAATTTCTGCCGGTGGATTGGCCTCCTGTATCGCTCCCACAGTGCTGTGGTGCAGGTGAACGGAAAGCGTTTTTTCGCTGTCTCGGTCGGTTCGTCAAGGTTGCCCGCTGTCGCCCCTACTTTAAACTTTAGCGTTGGAGCCTCTCCCTCGCCGACTGGGGGACAGGGCGTTGTAGTCTGGCCCTACGTGGAATAACTGTCCCCGGTGTGGCTCGAGCCAGGGTTTCCGCCTACGCCGATGACGTGTTCACTTTCGTGGAGGAAATCTTTCGATGTGATGGCTATTATCATCAGGGTCTGATTAGATTTTTGAGCATCAGCTCAGGATGGAGTTTAGAACTGAGAGAAAGCGGTTGGCATTGACAGATTTCAGCGAAAGGTGGGTAATAGTGGCGAGCCTGGTTCGCGTGAACGGGCCTAGCCTTGATTTTCTTTTTATATCCCCTAAGTCACAACACCTCGGTTTTTTTGTGGAGCACTCTCTTGGTTAAGATAGACTCTTCTTGTGTACCTAGTTAATGCAAGTGTCGTTCCAAGCCTGTGATCAGCTTCTTCCTTACAATTCAAGTTACCTGCTGAAAAATATTGAAAGAGTTACGTAAATCATTTTGTTTATTATTATTATTATTATTATTATTATTATTATTATTATTATTATTCTAGAACATCGTCAATGGAAATTATCTTTTATCCTCCGAGGTCACCGCGTGTTCTGTTTTTTTTTTTTTTTTGTTTTTTTTTCCAGCAGCAACAGCAAACTACTTGCTGAGACGGTCAGGCGTTTCTGCTTGATGATAGACTTTTGCCCGAGTGGCCAAACCCCTTCTCAGCAACAGCAACAATACTTCACCCGAGTATGGTCTACCCCTTTCTCGTCTACCCTTTTCAATTAAAATTTGCTCTCTTGTATAGCAAACACGTGTGTCAAAACCGACTCGCAAACCAGTTATTTGGGGGGGGTTCTATACATTTTATCTCCAGTGGTTAAAAAATCAAGAGTTGCCATACAGTCAAAATGAGCCCTATGTCAATTCAAATTTTTGTTTGTGTGTGTGTGTGTGTGTGTGTGTGTGTGTGTGTGTGTGTGTGTGTGTGTGTGTGTGTGTGTGTATTTTAATATCAAAGCTTGGCCCATCTTGCAAAACCTTTGCTACGGAAAGTTTAAACATCAATTTGGAGCTTTTCAAATCTTAACAAGTGTGTGTGTTTTATTCATATATATATATATATATATATATATATATATATATATATATATATATATATATTATAATAAAAAAGAAAGAACATTAAGATATATAATCCGGTATTCTTAATTGATATTTTTATTTTACAAAACAGTACTCAATGTAAATTTACAATTTATAATTTGTGTGTGTGTAAATTGTGTGTGTGTGTGTGTGTGTGTGTGTATTTTAATATGTGTGTGTGTGTGCCCATCTTGCAAAACCTTTTTAAAATCAATTTGGTGTGTTTTCTTCAAGTCAACTTTTATTCATATATATATATATATATATATATATATATATATATATATATATATATATATTATAATAAAAAAGAAAAACATTAAAGATATATAATCCGGTATTCTTAATTGATATTTTTATTTTTAAAAAAGTACTCAATGTAAATTTACAATTTATAATTTATATTATAAATTAACTGATTTTGTTTCTTCCAAACTTTTATTCATATTTAAGTTTATAAAAAGAACTAAATGCTTTTAATTAAATTAAATACAATTTATATTTTCTTCAAATGAACTTTAGAATTTTTTTGATTCAAAATTTTTTGAAATGAAATGAACTTTACTTTTAATTTAAATTCCTTCGTTTTGAAACATAGTAATTCCTGCGAAGAAACCATATTTTAAATCAGTTAATCTATCTATCTATCTATCTATCTATCTATCTATATATATATATATATATATATATATATATATATATATATATATATGAATGAAAAGACAAGAGGAAAATTATACTCATTTGCCTTGATAAA